ACAACCCTGCTTGCTGAAACTGAGGAGGACATGAAGTGATTGCTGTAGAGGGTCAAGGACTGCAACCTCCAATATGGATTGAGACTCAATGTCAAGACAACGATTCTCACCACTGGGCCAATTGGCAGCATCAGGATGGACGGTGAAGAGACTGAGATTGTTCACAGCTTCAGTTTGCTTGGCTCCACAGTCAACACTCTCGGCACCAGCAGCCAGGAAATTAGAAGACGTATTGCCATGGGAAAGTCTGCTATTAGGGACCTCTCCAAAGTACTGAAGAGCAATGGTATCTCTTTGGAGACTAAGGTGCTTCTGATACAAGCCATGGTCTTTGCTATCACTTGTTATGCATCAGAAAGTTGGACAAAGACTACGGAGGATAGGAGAAGAATTGATGCCTTTGAGATGTGGTGCTAGAGAAGAGTTTTAAGGGTACCATGGACTGCTAGGAAAACAAACAGATTCATCCTGGAAAGGGTCAAACCAGGCGGCTCCTTCAAGGCAAGGATTCTAAGGCTCCATCTAACATACTTTGGACATGATGCAAGGAGGGACAGATCCTTGGAGAGGGACATCATGCTTTCTAGGGTAGAGGGACAGCGCAGAAAGGGAAGGCCCCCTATGAGGTGGACTGATTCAGTGATTGAGGTAATCGGGATGGGTGTGTCAGAAACAGTGCGATTGGCACAGGACAGAGCAGAGTTTAGGCCTGTTGTACGTAGGGTCACTGTGAGTCGCAAGCGACTCGACGACACATAACAATAACAACAAACATATATAATGAAGTTAAACTTGAAGACAACATATAACTTTAGAAAGCAATAGTATTTTTTTGCCAGAGCCTAAAAGTTGGCTGCCCTTATTTTGTAGCTGAGCTTTCAGAAGAATTAGCTCTACATATGTTTCTTTAACTTGGTCTGTCCATGAGTGGTAGTGATGTATTGAAAAGCTTTTTGTATTCTTCTTTAACGTTTTTTGTTGTTGTTGTGTACTGTTGAATTTAAATCAACTGAAACAGGAAGAGAGTGCCCCTCCTTCTCCAGCGAGCATCTGGTAGACTCGAACCAACCACCTTAGAGATTGCAGCACAGCTTCTTGCCACTAGGCCACCAGAGTTCGCTTTTCATATTCTTAAAATATCTTTCACCCTGGGAAAGATCTAGTGTGAAAAACAATGTATACAAACTTAATGAACTTTTTATGTAAGCCAGTACAAAATAAATTTTTTAAAAAAAATTTTAAAACATCCCAACATTCCTGCTTTCCTGATTAGAAAAACAAGATCTAAGCATATTGATGTTAAAGATGATGGTGATAATAAATAAATAAAAAGCACCGTGTTTTCACATTCTCCAAGAAATATCTCTTTATTCTTTTGGCAGTTACTAGGATATTCAGTACTCTTCTCCAACACCACACCTTAAAGTATTCTGTCATCCTTATGCTTAGAATGTGAGGTAGGCTGGACATTTAAAGAGAGTAAGATATAACAGACATACCTTAATTTTCCAAAGAGGAACCCTTGAATTTCATCAATGGGATCATTCTCACCTATCACAGTGGCATTAACCTCAGTTCCTATGTAAATATATAAAAGAAATATATGTCTTCTCTGTAGATGTTCAGTGAAATGAAAAATAAATAAAATAAAAAATAAAAAAGAAATATATGTCTTGTTGCTGAGATTAAAAATTAGGAAATAAAAAACAAATGACATTTTTAGGTATAAAATAAACTTGAATCATAATATATTGTAATTTTTTTTGAGATTGTATTGTAAATTTATAAAGAACTTAGATTTCCATTCATTCATTGTTGCATATTTTCCTCCCTGCCCTCCCTCCCCCCAGTTTGCTTTTTTAATTTGGGAAAAAAGTTCTTTCACTGTTACACAGTTGTCATCGTGTCCCACCCCCCTAGACCACATTACTATGCAGCTCATATTCGGGACTTCTGTCATACCAATAATACCCAATCATATATTTCTTTTATATAGTTCTCTCCCTCGTCTGTTTCAATGCCATGTACCTTATATATCCCCTCTTTTCTTAGTTTCCCACAACCCCTATGTCAGTCTTGTTTTATAACAGTGGAATTACAGTAGTTATCTTTTTATGACTGAGATATTTCACTCAGCATAATGTACTCGATGGTCATCTATTTTGTATTTCATGAGTTCCTTATTTTTCAGTGCCGCATAATATTCCATTGTGTGAATATTCCATCGTTTCTCTATTTATTCGTTGATGGGGATTTGAGTTGTTTCCAACTCGTTGCTACTGTGAACATAGCAGCAATAAACATGGGCATGCTTATATCTGATTGGATGGCTGTTCTGGTTTCTTTAGGGTATATTCCCAGTAGTGGAATTGCTGGATTGAATGGTATTTCTATTTGAAAGTTTTTGAGAAAGCGCCACACTGCATTCCATAGTGTTTGCATCATTTTCCACTCCCACCAACAGCGAATAAGGGTTCCATTTTCACCACAACCTTGCCAGCATTTGTTGTTTGCTGTTCTGTTAAATTTTACTATTCTTACGGGGGTTATCTCATAATTGTTTTGATTTGCATCTCTCTTAGAGGTAGGGAATTTCAACATTTCTTCAAGGGTTTGTTTGTCACCTGAATGTCTTCTTTGTTGAAATGTCTGTTCATCTCCTGTGCCCATTTTGCAATTGGGTTGTTTACTTTTATCTTGTTGTGGCAGAATCATAATATTTAACTAACACATGGAATACTTTCATCAACATTTTACAGTAGTTCTTTAAATAGAATGAATGCTTTCATGTTTTCTGGTACAAGAATGTATTTTCACCTGAAACTTCGGACAAAATCACCTTCAAAAAGTTTCAAAATGAACAGCTTTCAGAATTATTATACTTAGAGTTATCAATATCAAAATAGTGAAGAGTTTCAAGTAATCAATATAATCCTAAATATAACTATTATCAAAAGTGGAATAATGAGGTTAGTCCCATTCTACAACAGTGGCATCATGTAATATTTGTCCTTTTGTGACTGGGATATTTCACTCAGCATAATGTTCTCCAGAGTCAAC